ACCCTTCTGCACATGCACAGGGTATCAAATCGATCCATGCAGAGAAGAAAACGATCATGAGAACAAAGATCACAGTTGGCAGCTCAGAGTGAGGTATGTTGCACCCATCCATATTGCAATACAAGCTCCAAACAACATTAGATCCCATCTGTAGCAGCTTTGGTGCAGAAAGATTAGCTCTTTAACAGTCAGAGCACCCATCGTAGGACTCGAGGTTGAAATAGCCTCACTAGCCAGAGGGAGAGCCTGGTAAAGTAGCTCCAGAACTGACCCTTATATCCAGAAAAATCTCAGGGACAGAAAAGCTGCTCTGTTTATACTGTTTCAGAACTCGTAAAGTGCCTGGCCGCAGAGCCTGGAGGGCTTTTAGAAAGCTCTGCTGCCCCACACCATTGATCTGAAGTGATGAAGAAGGCTCATTGTGGCGTAAATCCTGCTGGACTGGTTTAACAACGTGGTCTGATTCATCTGTTCAGCCAGCGTAGCACCAATGCAGGGGAAGAAGAATAAGTCAGGCTGAAAAATTGGTGCAACTGGCTTCACACATGAGAGAACACAAACAGATTATTTCAAAAATACTAGCCAAAACCCCTTTCCAGTTCCAAGACAGTGCACAGCAGCGTGCATCAGCATAGTCATTTTTTAAAAACTGCCCTACCCAAGAAATCGCCTTCTCTGGTATTCACGAGTAGAGATGATGTACATCTGTCTGGCTGATTTGCATGGCACATTGTCTCCTCATGAATAGGCTAGTGCCATTTCTTCTTCTCCTTACCTGTGGAAGGAAGACAGTAGTTTTTCTTGCTTCTCTTCACCTACTTGTTTTGTTTCTGGATTACACACAAGGCCCCGAGTCAGCTGCTCAGTTCAGGGGCAGCTCCAACTCCTGCTTTGGTCTGTTCAATCCTTTCTTTGATTCCTCGGTGAATTGGCCTGGCCCTGATTTGATACCAAAGGGAACGTGAGCACTTGGAGCATTTGGGAGAGCCCGAAGGTGACAAAGCACATCTGTCTAGATGGAGAGCGACTGTGACTCAACACCACGGAGCCGTTTAGTTTCCTGAGCTCGCTCACTCCTGCCTGGCTGTTGGGTCACTGCTTACCCACTTTTCAGAAGGAGGATACTGAGCCATGATCACCAAATTAATTTCTCACTGCAAGAAGCAGCAAAGAGTCAATGGCCAAGAGGCCAATGCTGGATGCTTTTGACCCCCTGTACACACAGTCACACATGGGCACACCAGATGAACTGTCCTTCCCTGTAACCCATCTCTGCCAGTGACAGCTAGGACAGGCGCTCTGGTGCAAGGCGAAGGTATTCTGCAGCAGGCTGATATGAGTTGTCTCACCTGCTGAAGTTCCTTCCCAGCATCGAGTCACACAAGCCCCGAGACAGGAAGGGCTGAGTCCCCATCAATTCCAGGCGTTGTAAGTCTATACTAAAAAACCAGCAGGTGGAATTTATGCTGGTACCTCATTTTTAACACCTCTGAACTGTCCTGGTCTACTTGACATCAAAGCTATGTATGTGTTTTTTAATGGGCGTTTCCTAAACCTTGTTCCAGGAACGAAGAGAGCTGCCAGGGGATGCAGGAGCCTGAAGAAGACCCTGCTGTTCTCCAGGACACATGCACAGAGCAAGGCTCTCCAGCGGCTCGCTGTGCTTGATGTGAAGCTGTGATGTTTGCGAGGGACTGAAGCATGAACTGCCCCGCTAATGCTAGCAGGTGCGAGTAACAAAGGAGGAGAAAAAGGCTGATAATCAGAAGAAAAAGAAAATGGCAAAGAGATAAACCTTCCTGAGCAAGCAGTGTGGCAAAGTATTAATGGTTAACTCTGTCATTGTGGGGTAGAAGGAAAAATGCAATTCTAACGGGAAAGAGAAGTTTACTTTGCAAAGCAAATTTGTTATTCAGTGTGCCAGCTTATTGTTGTTATTATTTGCTCTAGTCTCTCTGGAGAACAGAGAGAAAACATGCAAATGACCCTCCACAACAGGCAGAACCCCCTCCCCACAGCCTCCCTGGCTGCGTCCTTGCACACACAAAAAAAAGAGGATGCTAAACACAGCCCTTTGAAATCCAGGAGGATAATTGATTCTCTGACGTTCAGAAGCCCACAGGACTCCTGAGGGAGCACAGGTATAAAAAGAGGAGATGCACCTCGCTGGCAGCTAGAGGACAGCTGGGGGGAGATCTGACAGCGTCCTCCTCGGCACGCTTCCTGGGATCCTGCCCAGGTACAGAGCGGAGGGGACGGATCCAGCAGAGTTCACCGAAGCAGCAGTAGAGAGAAAGAAGTTGTATTCGCAACAGGGGAAGGAAACACCTGAGCAGCAGCCGATCTGGGAAGAGCTTATTTCCTAAGGGAACGGTAAGTGTGAGCCTCTGCATGTGGGTTTAACAAGATAATGTCCATTTGGAAATTGGGAAGAATTAAATTATACTGAAATGCAATCGAAGCTGGCATCAGTAATACTTAATTGTGCCAGCTACAGTACCCTTTGCACCAACCATAAGAGATCTTTTGCACCAAGTTATGGAATGAAGCAATAACTGAACTACAGAACAAGAGTAAATCCATAGAATAACACTATGGAAGAGCCTTGTAAAAACACATTAGGCACATTAGATGAAGCACAGGTTACCTCTTTTGCAATACTGATAGGAGGAGTTCCTTTTACCCTGGAAAAGGAATGCTGTTTTACTCACCCATTAATAAAATCATGTTTAAGCCAGAGCAAAGTGTGAGGAGAAACACAGTGGTGTGTTACGGATAATGCGAAGCCAGCTACAACGAGGCAGAGTCAGCCGCTTGAAAGGATTTCTGCTTTTCTAATGTGACATTTCACAATATAAGAGTCTGAACTTTATAAAACTGTATGTACAATAAAAGCTTCATTGCATGCATCTAGTGATATTTTTAAGACTGATCAGATAACTCAATTTCTTACTGTTTCTGAAACCTCATCTAATCTCCCAACATCATTTTCACAAATACTGCTGTGTTAACATAGCACAGGACGGACTGCAGCTTTTGTGCTTTATCTGTTGGAATGGCGTTAACAGCTTTTCATCTTAAGGGGCGTTTATTTATCAATTATTTTTTCCACATACTGCCAGAATGGAAAGTAGGAAGGTGAACCTAACCTCAGGAGAATTTAAAAGGTGACAAGATTTTGCAGAGCTGTCATGCTGCCTGTATGCAGGGTGACAATTGTTCGGCTTCTCTTCTGAAGTAGCAGACACCTCTGGGAAGAGGAGTAGATTTTCCCTTGTGGCTTCTAACAAGGGAAAAAGGGAGACGGAAATATCCAAAAGGAGGAGAAACAGACTGTAGAGATGGGAGAGAAGACAAAACAAAATAGG